AATCTTAGGTGGATATGAAGAAGCTGTTTTAAGAGTGTCTGGAGGAAAGTACAGAGATGATGGGATAGAAGCAGTGTAACAAATACACGGTTCTTCCAAAAGAGTAGACATTTGACATATCAGAAGATCAAACAATTAAACATTAGGTCATGACTTTAAAGCTAGTTAATGAGCCACTGAAAATGTTGTCCTGAGTTTAGAAAGCATTAATTAAAAAAAAAATGAGACTTGGATAAGCAGTAGGTCTTTTGTTCTTAAACAAGCACAACTGTAACAGTACATTCCAGTTCCAAAGTACCCCCTGTAACTGTTGGCAAATAAAACGGCTTATATCCTTACCATGGACTAACCATATGCCATTTTGGAGCTCTTAGATATAAAGCCCTGAAAAGCAACAACTCAAAATAAAGTGGTCACATTTGCTGAAATACATACTATGACTCATTACACAATCATCAAAAATCTTTATACATTTCAGTCCATTTTCTTCCCTTCCCAGACCAACAACAAGCACATCAACATACGAAAAGATGACTTAAATGATGTAAGAAATTTACCAGTATGGGTTAACTTCCCACAGCTCTTCCTGAGAATTTGGCATATAAGCAAAAAACACAAGGGAGAATGTTTAAACATCTTCTCCAAAGAGCTCAAAAGGTAAACTACTTGGCCAGCTAACAAGTTTTCTACACTTTCCACAACTGGATTACTATCTAGCTGGCTAGAGCACTTATACCACTTACCAGATGGTCTCTTACACAGCAGAAACCACTGTTCATTTGTTATGACTTTTTTTTTTTAACAGCAATTCATTTGCTGGTTTACAGAACAGTTCTGAAGTGCTGTCTGAATGAATTGGCTAGAAGAAGATACAATCAATAAAGAACTTGCATATTCTTGCTTAACAAGATTTATTTTAAAATTATCTGTATCCCATGATCAGAAGGTATTAAATTAGAGGACAGAATTTCAATCCCATGGTAGTAAAAGAATCCTGAATCTTAGTCACTGAATCAGTTCTGTATCAACATAAAATCTGTCAAGTGTGGGCTGTTTAGAGTGAATTCTACTACACATCTAGCAGCCAGGCTAACACCATCCTCTGTAGACAGAGGGTGGCATAAAACTTTTGAGCAGCTGCTCCTTTTACAGAAATGAATTAAAGACAATGTGCTCTGTAAGTTGCGGCTCTTAGATCACTGACACAGCATGTAAGGATTTAGAGCTACAAGGCACCAAAGCATAATGTATTACTTCATTGAAGGTATAAAGGGTTAATAGAGTAAATAAAATACAGTTATATTTTATATCATCTCACATCTAACTTACAGAGGCATTTTCATAAATTTTGTCAAAGGTTATCTGCTTAGCTGGGTTTTTATCTCCTCCCTCGTACCCAAAAGCTACAATTAATATTTACCTAAGATATAATTAACTCCAAACACTGATGTATTTGGACACATCTTGCTCTGGAATCTAAGCGGATATACAGAGAAATTAGTCTCTGCAGGCATTTGTGAGTGCACCATTTGAATTTTAACTGTTTAATCTCTTTGCAAAGCAATCAGTGTCTGCCTTTCCACATCTGTAAAGTGTCTGCTACCCATTAAGCCGATTTTAGAAGCTTACTACTATAATTTTTCATGTGCAAATGTTTCATCTTACCGAAATGCATATTTAATGAACAATATATTCATTTTCCAATGAATAGTAAAAAAAAAACCTGGCTAATTTTGGTTCATCTCTTTCTGTACCCAGCAAGCCACTTTCACACTGAGGACAATCAAGTGTTACACCATGACTACATTTAATAACGGCAAAAAGACCCTCTCCCCAAAGCTGCTTCCAAGAGAAACAGCAGGAGGACAAAAAGCACTTGGAGAACCCTACAGACAAAATAAATTAGTTTTGAAACTGTTAGAATCATTAGCATATTCATGAATGTTCAATATTATACTTACTAAGTCATTACAAGTATACTTACTAGGTCATTCATATTTGTCTGACTGGCTGGATGAATTTCTTCCAAGAACTCTAGCACATAGAATGTGTATCTGTCCATAAGATGAACGCCAATCCCAAGATCAGGTTGATGCTTAAAAACAATACACAGCAGTTACTGAGCATTTGCAGGAAAGAACTCCGTATTTAGAGAGCAAACAGAATGTAACAGCACTAACAAAAGTTAAGCATAATGATTGTTTGTTCTTAGGCAAATTACACAAAGAAAATGACCAGTCATAAAGAAACATATTGTTGACAATCTGAATAACATAGTTTATCTTCATTTTTCTACACTATATCCTGGTAATCTCCATGCTTGCAAAAAAAGGAGGGAACCCCTTCTTCTTGATGGTTCAGTAAAGGTTTGTGGGCTGCCCTGAACTGCTTAGAACTTGGAAAACAGGGCTGGGAGAGACATCTTATCTTACAGCTCTGCATGGGTTCAGGTAACCCTGTCCTGCTGGTTTTGATCTGGCTAGGATCTCTCTCCTATCACTCCACCTGTAATTCAGCTGGGATACAACTGCAGCAGGTGAAAGGTAGTGGTCTGGGATTTCTTTGTATATACAATAGTTTGGGTTCGAAGGGACCTTCAAAGCTCATCTAGTCCAACACCCCTGCAATGAGCAGGGACATTTTCATCTAGATCAGGTTCCCAAGAAACACATCCAGCCTGGCCTTGAATTCTCCAGTGATGGTGCATCCACCACCTCCCTGGGCAACCTGTGCCAGTGTTTTACCATCCTCATTGTAAATATTCTTTTCCTCACATCCAGCCTGAATCTCCCCTCTTTTAGTTTAAAACAATTACCTTTTGTCCCGTCACAACAGGCCCTGCTAAAAAGTCTCTCCCCATCTTATAGGCCACTATTCAGTACTGAAAGGCTGCAATAAGGTCTCCGTGGAGTCTTCTCTTCTTCAGGCTAAACCACCCCATTTCACTGAGCCGTTCCTCATAGAAGAGGTGCTCCATACCTCTGATCATTTCTGTGGCCCTTCTCTGGACCCTCTCTAACAGGTCTAGAAGTCCTAGATCGAATGTTCCCCACACATATCTCTCAGTAATCTTCCCACAAGATTTCTTCCTATCCTAGGCAATGCATAAATTGGCCAGCAAGCACAGAAATCCATTATTAATCTGTTTTTTTGGGACAGCATACAAAAACAAGCAGAAGAAGTGCAATTACAAGTTTTGTCAAAACCTCACTTTGTAACTAAATACCTTACACATTCAGCAATTAGAAGGCAAATTTTTCATTTAAAAACAATAGGACCTGTGCTTTTTGCTCAGGCATTTTGAAAGCTGTCTTCAGGATCACAAAAATCTACTTACTGATAAAGAATCTTCTCCTACTTGGCTGCTAGCCAAGGCCATTATATTAGGTGAATAAAATCGCTCATACATGGATGCTCCTTGACAAGTATCAATAATAAACAACAGTTCATTGTACCTGAAAAAATAAAACAGCCTCTTTATCCATCTCTCTTTAAACAACATTCACATACTCTGCTTTTTCGTTACCAAGACAGCTGCTAGGAACCTAAGGAACAGAAGAGTTTACACTGATTGACTTAAGATGCAAGTTTAGTCAAAGCACAATAAATTTGAGCAGTTGTAACTGCAGGAAGCTGAAAACAAAAATTAAAACTCTTCTTTCTGAATGCAAACTTTCATGCAATTTTATGGACAATGGATAGCATCATTGCTGAAGGTAAGCAAGGCCTACTGGTAAGACTTCAGGTATGTTCAGGAAAGACAATATTTAACCTCTAAACAATGCTTTTTTCTTACCTTCTTTTCTGCCACATTTGTTCAAAGGCATCAGCCAGCTCTACATTTGTGATTTCTTCAGAATCTTGAAATTTTAGGAAACCATTTCCACCATGGCCTGACAGAAAAAAAATAAATCAGAAGTTATGCAAGTATGTAGCTTAAGGGAAGATACTCAGTCTGGTTAAACATTTTTCTAAAAAAACAAGTAAAAATAAAAAAGGCAAACACAATTCTCCTTCTCCAAACAGACTCCAGCAAAAGAAAATTATTAGTACAGTGAGAACAGTACACATACATCACTTAAGATAGAAACTACACCTACTGCCATATAGGCTTTTTCATAATTAGTATTACATGCTAAAAAAAGAACAGAAAAAAAAACCCTTTTGTCAATCTTTTTGTTTGTTTGGACTCCTAATGGGATTTCATGCTTTAAACAGGCCCATCCAAGTGAACAACATCAATAAATTGTATACAGAAACCTGTAACTACCTGTCATATATATTAAAATATTGCTTCTGTCATCAGAAAGAAGACGTTTAGATCGTGGTGTGCTTGGTGGGATTCTTCCTGTTAATACACGCAAGAAATTTTCAACAGTAACCTATGAATAGAAGCACAAAGTAATTTTCTAAAGAGAAAAATATTGATTAACAACTATAGGCTGGGTTACATTAAGTAATGGAACACTAAAATAGGCAGTGTATATACCCAAAAGTAATACTTCATGGTATAAACTGCATAAACAAACATTTTCTGTTCAAGGTTTTACTGCAGTTTCACAATCATAAGGTACCTTTTACTTTATTCCACTAACATCAGCCTGTTGCTTTATTATATCAAATAAAGATAATGCCATTATAATTTCTAAAGACATTTTCATTGATCTGGAAACCTGTGAGTGTACAGCTTGATTCTGCCAAAGCTGCTCATGTACTCAAAACATGCTCCAACATTAGTGTGTGTTACCATGGAAAAATAAGTTTAAATTCCCTCTGCAACACAGAAAGGAAAAACAAAATCAATTTCGGTTACATAAGTCTAAGAGATCAGGTGAGACCCATCTGGATGGTGATTGTAAAATATCCTGTAAAACACCATCTCATCTTCATGCAGACCTACACAGCTCAAACGCTAGCAACAAATCCATACTCAGGAAAAAAACACGATGAAAAGAACATATCTCTGTTTCAGTGTTGTATCTTCACTTCTTTATACAAAGCTTCAGAGAAATAAAACATCTACTATATAATTAAATATCCCCCTATAAACTGTTAAGAATAATTATACAGCACTATTAAACCATGAAGTTGATGTCCTATTTAAGATCAACTGGTAAAGACACTGTTCGAAGGAATACTACACAAAAATGAAAAGGTGGTAGAACACAGATTTCTTTACAGTGTTTATTTTACAGTAATGCATAAGTTATGGCTTTTGTGCATTTTGATAAAAACATATACTTAACATTAGAAATGTAAGTAGATATGCCAAGTAAATATTTCACTTGCACGCCAAAGTTTCACAGTGGTGGTGTTTGCAAGATGAGACACTGAACCACCATTTCCAAAGAAGAGAAATTTAAGTTATATATTTGAATTCCTAATACATACAAGGGGTTCCATTTAATTGTGGGAATTTCATTACCTAAATTATAACATGATTCTAATATAATAAACTTCAAATAAAACAAGTATCAAGGAGGGGAGGGGTGTGGTTTTTAAACCTATCAGTTGATACTAAAAGCCCAGCCCAAAACCAGAAATGTGAATAGAAAGACTTCCTCAGACTTCACGTGTTGTATAAATCTTTAAACCAACGCCAAAACCAAAGACCCAGTGATGTAATTGAAGTGTAGTCACCTCATAGCTTCTGTAATCCACTTCCACGTCATCTCCATAGACATTTAGCTCCATGTTTTTATGACTAAACACAGTAGCTGGTTTGGGATTTCTGGGATTACATGCCATGTCATCTGCCAGCATGAGGACAATGTGACTACGGAAAATGAAACAAAAACACTTCAGCCATTCTACTTTCATGTAACAGTCAAACAGAAATTACACCAAAACTGTCCCACAATTACAACAATAGATTATAACACTAAGATTCCTGGGATTGTTAGTGAAACTTAGCTTACTTATACCCTATTTCCTTATGTACACCCTCATTATTATGAAGATACCACACACAGAAATGTGGCCAGCTGTTAAACAGCTATAGGATTAAGTTAGGCCAAAGATGAACACAAGAGTAGTTGATATTAGCAGTTTTATGATACAGACCTGCCCAGACCCAGACTGGTAGAACTCTTCATAAAAAATGTAATTTTTATGGGCCATTAAATCATTTAATGCAGCTCCACAGAAGAAATTCCAGCCTGTTTACACCTTCTCAGACAGATCATTTGAAGATTTTATGACAAATTTTAATTAAATTTGAGGAGCTCCTGAACATTTCTCAAGCCGTTATACTACAACTGATGCACTACTGTATGATACCTGTGATATTAGAATTTTGCTGAAGAACACAAGTGGGCTGACACCAGACATTTTGTCTTCTTCTTAGTACAAAGAAAAAAAAGAAACTCCCAATAAAACCCCAACAACCCAACATTTCATATTACCAACGAAAAAAAAAAACCACCCAAAAAAAAAAAAACAACAAACCAATCACCACATTATAAAGCTGTTCCAACTTGCATGCAGCCTAAGACCTCTATTACACATAGCAGGGTCAGGTTTGGGCCAAAATATGAAACAAGAGGTCATTGGAAACTGTTAGCACCAGGAAGAATGTGCCAGAGATGTCTGGAACAAGGTGAAGTTGGTCCTTTCCTTGGATAATCTTGTCTTGGATATGGTTTCGCTCTTTATTCTGCAAAGAATACTTCTAATTCAGACTCTCAGGCACACAGCTATAAATTAAACTGTGTCATGCTATTTAAACATCATTCCTGCGCTTGTCATCATTCACCTCTATGTCCGCATGAGCACTTTAAGAATGAAGTTATTCTTTATTAAGTGCTAACAGGCTGCACACTCCACCAAAAAAACAAAGAGGAGGATAGGGGGGGTGGGTGGAGGTGGAAGAAAAAGAGAAATGCTGTCCAAAATAACATAAGCATAAATCCTCAGAAATAATCAAAGTAAATTATTTCAATGGGAACAAAATGTTGGCATAAACATGAAGGTGCAATGACAGAAGCAAGAGTAGAACAAATGTAGAGGAGAAAAGAGATTTATTTTTTTTCTCCACACATGCACAGCAGTACAAAACTATTTTTATAAAAGAGAACTATCAAAAAGGAATTAGTTGGAAGTAAGTGCAGAATATATGCCTTGCAGATTTGCTGAGATAGTCATTGTACATCCATTTTTTGTATTATATTCAGAAGAGAATATTCCACACTAAGCCATCACTAGGCCTACAGTTTAGCACTGTATTTTTGCTAGGAATGTGTTTATTAAAAAAAAAAAAAAAAAAAGAATAATCACATGCATTCAGGAAAAGGTTTTGCATTGTAGTAGTACAGACAGGTGAGCACAAACACACAGAGTTTCTATACTGCACAGCAATCATATACATGCATATGGAATATCCCACAGTTAAACAGAACCTCTGTGTACAAGTGCAACAAAACAACCTAGGTGTTAACTTGCAGCTTAACTGTTAAACCAAAGTAACCTAATCATATACTATATTAATAATCTTTCCATGATACGAGGCTTATACTGCATAATGATTCCAGGAATCAAAAATAATTTCTGGATTCATTTTGGCTTTGTTTTACTTTAGCAAAACTTTTCTTTCATGGATTGGAGCATCGTGTCCGCACGTCAACAAACCAAAGCACCTTACAGTTACAAAACAACAAATCAAGATCTGTTGTTGGAGGACAAATCTACTCACATCATCAAAGAGACACGGTTCCATTCAAAATGAGACTATGCACAAACCTCTTCAAAGAACTCAAGTCCAAGAACCATGATAAATGGAAAGAAAAACAGGTAGAGGAAGAAGTTTGTGCAAGGGAGAAACCCAGGCAAACCCATGTCAAAACTGCTGCAAATGAGTAAAAACCAGGCATGCTCTCAGTATAGGTCTTTTCCAATGTCTTATTCTTGACCTTAGTCTAAAGCACTGCTGGCTTTTTGAAATTGATTTCCAGATCCTTATGTATGGATAAGAAACAGATCAGGCTACTGAACAACAGGAATCTCCAGCTACACTGTAGTTTTTGCAGTATTTCTAAAACCGTCACTTATTTTGATATTAAAGATCAAGATGGATGGATGCAGAGAACATGAAAGTTCTCAGGTTTGGGCAGAAGTAGTAAAAGAATTCCTAAGGCAGTACCTAGACTATACAGGAAAGAAGATAGATGCTTCTGAATAAGACATGCAAAAAAAAAAAAAAGCCGTATTTCTGTGGCTTTCAGCCCACAGTGCTTCAGCAGTATGTTGCCTTGGATTTATAGCCCCCAAACACTTCTAAAAACTAGATTTCAACATCCCCTCTTTCAAAAACCAAGAACTCACTCTTTTCTTTTTAAAAATAAATAGAGGGGACAGGATATATTGCCAGCACAGTCACGGTTAAGTGGAAACTAGCTGCGGACTCCAGGTACTACAGTTTGGACCTTGACAAAAAATGCTATACAAATTCAATCCAGTAAAACATACATTTTGCAATGATCAAGATGTTCATACTTCCTTATACAGACATACTGGAGAAACTACCACTCCTCTAAATGAACATGAAAAATCAGGACCACCAGGATTTCCATAGGAGCCTATGGTTACACATAGCCCATTATGTTGGTGCACAATTCTAGTACAAGTAAATTGCATTCCAAAACAGTCGATGGAACTGTGCCGACTTCCATTCAGAACACAACTCAGACACTTCAGAACAGTTTGTTCACCTTCCTAATCCTATTGTCAAAGAAAGGATACTATTTTGGCTATTGTGTTATCACTATGAAGCACAACTGGTATGGACAAAGGTATTGGTTTCTCTAAAAGCATCATGCAAAATGGATTTCTCAAGGCTATTTTTAAAATGTAGCAGCTGCTTTGTTCAGGCCTTTAGTTTAGAGACTCTCAATGTAGCTGCAGATGTGGAAGTCATACACTTCAGTACAGTTATGGTTACTAACATCTCCACACTGAAAGTACAGCAAAAGCCGTATCTCAGAGTAGTACTATCACTGCTGATGCATTTATCAATTTTCACATTATGCTTTCACTAATTTTCTAAGTGTTATAATATTTTAGTGGGCAGATAGCTCCTCATATTTTTAATCTAATTAACCTATTCCAACTAGCAACTTCTGACTTCTCTTTTTGAACAGTATTGCCACAGTTTTCAATACACTGATATAATCATATCCCTCTTTTTTACTTTTGGCCAGTTAAACTGAGAAGAGAAATGTATTTTTAAACTGCTTCAGACAATAAAGTGAACTTTAATAGTACATTTGCAAGGAACTGTATTCACCAGTATTCCCTCACCTATCGGGAATGCCCAGTCTCTTGACACTTCTGTACACTGAGAGAGTATTTGCCACATGACGATAATTGAACCAGAATCGAGATGTACATACCTTAGAAAAAAAGGGAAAAAAAATCATATTAAATACTGTAAAAGGTAAAAGTAGCCTGGCACATTGCATCAGAAGACTGTGATTACAGAAATATCAACAAACCAGTAACAAATCAGAAAGAACACAGCAACACCAAGAAACTCATGATATAAGCTATAGAAGTCTTTGTTGTACCAAAGTAACAAATGCTGAAAATAAAAGTTTAAAAAAAAATAAGTTCTTAACATACTGACTCATGAAAAAATTGTCATAAAACCCAACGAAGTATAGAAAGTGGCACTTGAGGGAATAATTCAGCAATAGTAAATGGATAAGCTAAATTTTCTTCACTTGCTTTCTCCATATCTAAGAAAAATCAAAGGAAGAGTTCTCATCTCAATATCAAACCCATTGTGGGATCATGCTTGCACAAAGGCGTAAGTAAATTCATGCAGAAGCCACACAGAGGGGAAAATACGCTGAGGACATTTGCATTTGAGGAGTCAAATATAATAAAGTAAGAGCTAAGTGAGCTCTACCCAAAATCTGAATACAAATTCTCAAAAACCTCAAAAGAGTTCAGATTTTTCTGTTCTAACAGGCAAAGCATTGGGGATCAGCCATTCCTGTACTTAAACTAATACCTAGGCCAGGTATTACTTAAACTGTCCTCAAAAGCCTTAAACCAATGAGATTTAAAAAAAGTTGAGAGGCAATCTGTTGTAGTTCCCTACTAAAGCCTTATCATTGTCCTTGTGCTTAACTTCAATTCGCTACTTTTTGTTTGTTCCACACCAAGGACTGCAATCCTCCTCTAGAGGCAAATTTCCTTCACTTTTACAAGTCTTTCAATCACAGAAAAGAAGCAGCATGTTAGAAGAGGTAACTTTAAAAACACAAACATACAGAGCATTTAGACAGGTTTTTTAATTTTTCAGCTTTAAATGTAAAGTTCTAATTTAATAATAGAATCATGGAATGGTTTGGGTTGGAAGGGACCTTAAAGATCACCTAGTTCCAATCCCCTACCATGGGCAGGGACACCTTCCTCTAGACCAGGTTGCTCAAAGGCCCATCCAAGCTGTCCTTGAATAGACAAACACAAAGAAAATAGATGTCCTTAAATGGAAACATCTGTAAGTTACACTATGTAACATTTTTGTCTCTAGCCTTTTCATAAAAAGAAGAGAGTAGTAGCTTGAATAATAATAAAAATTCAGCCTGAAAGGATCCCTTTGTGTCTTGATCATGCCATCAGTTAGGAATTTCAAAAAAGCCCACGGGAATCAGTCCACGTGAACGTTTGCCTTTCAGAAAGATTTAAAGCTCTGCAAACTAACTGTGGCCTACTTAGCTGTGACGTTTCAAGGTATTAGCACCTGTCCCTTTCCTCTACTGTCTCCCTTATAACACAGTGGAAAATGTGTCTGTGCTTTAAATATAGCTACTCACACTGCAGCATATTAATTCCAACTACTGATGAAGGGGGATTGCAATACAATGCCAGGCTTGAAGTGCCTGAAAGCTGTAAAACCCTCCCTCTTTAATTGCTTCAAAAAGTAGTAGCAACTGTTACAAAGCTTACCTATGAACTACTGAAAAAATGTAACCAGAAGCAAATATGTTGAAAACAGAAAGTGTAACTCCTTGAACCTAATTTTCCACCGTCTTTGTATGGTTTTATGGAGTATAAAAGCACCTAGTTGTTAACAGTATTAAAGTAGTACTTGATACTTTAATAGTTTTGAGTTTGTTCATCGTAGAATATAGAAATTATTCCTTCTAATTCAATTAATTACTGTAAACTTTTCTTTCATATTGCTCAATTTTAGTATCTGGAAAACAAACAGCTGCTACTGAGTAATTACAATCATGTTCTGAAACAAATTAGTCATTAAGACCCAAATTGTGATTAAGAACCAATTGTGCAGCATGATTCAAAGCTAATAAAAGCTTCATGGCAAAGAAAAAAAATAAATGGGTAAGAACAGCTGATCTAAACATTATGTTGCCTGAATTTATTTTATTCTAAGCCTGTTACCACATGTCGACAGGTTAAGTACAAACAAGAATCAGAAAGAAAGTGTACCTGTCTGGTCAAAGAGATAAACTTCTGTGATACCAGAATTACACTTCTGTTCAATATGCAGTATGGTAATTTAACTGTTTTAATGCTGTCAGAACTTTTGTTTTATGAATCCTGCCATGTAATTAGACATTTTGAGTGCTTGAAGTGTAGTCATACTGAAAAGATAATTTTATTACAGTGTAATAAATGTGCAGGCACAATTTCAAATTTATTCATTCCCAAATCTTCATCTTTCCACTTCTTTCAAATGAACAGAATTCTTGAGTGACTGTTGCTATTATGGCTCCTATTGAAAAGTTGTCAACTTTATTGGAAGAAAACTGGACCACACTTACCAAAACTGCCCAGTTATTTGTATGTCCACTTTTAAAGAACTGTTCTGCTTGATCCTGAAAGATGGAGACAGTATTAGATGTTTTTCAGCAATAAGAACGTAATGACCACTCATTTTTGTTCTTTCCACAAAAAAAAAAGTGTTCAATGCATATGTTTACCACACTTAAACACTGAATAAATCTTACAAAAGCTTCAAGAGATAGGTTGTCTTTTTCTGGTTTTCATATTTCATGCAAGTTAATTGCTTCAAATCTTTCCCTGAAACTTGCGAAATAACAAAGGAGAAAGAACTATTAGTCACTTGCAGCTTAGTTAAAACAAAAGCCCACACATCTCTATTCCAAAGGACACTGAGAACAAAATAAAATGATTTATTGACCTACAGTTTCTCCCTTAATGAGAAGAGAGGCTCGGATTAATTTCTATTTCCCTTGTTCATCTCATCTTTTCAAAAGCAGGTAAGTGAAGCTGCAATTTTAACCCTTTTAAATCCAAGGTGGTTACATTTATCACCCAAAATCAGGAGCTATGATAACAGCCTTTTCTATAATTTGCATTCTCTGTAGTTCTCACTGGGCTTTGCAGAGAGGGCCCTTTTTCGTAAACAGATTGCATAAACCAGGACACAGAAAGGGGATAAAGACTTCCCAGAGGTAAGGGAATGAGTCTGTCACCGGACAAGAATCTGGACTTGCTGATTGTTAATCAGACTCTGATAACTCTCGGAGGGGTACTGGGCTGATGCCAGTGGTTTCGCACAAAACAGTAACAGAAAGAGCTTTTGTTAAGATAAATGTAAAGCATTTACTACTGTATTTCAAGCACCAAATTGGCAGCTTGATTAGAAAGACTAATATTTTAATTGGGTATTTTTTGTCCTATTTGTAATTAACTTGAAGTATGACAATTTGTTAATAAAGCAGAATTCAAATGCAAACAACGTTCCAGGTGTAGCGTGGGCACCGTGCAAAAACATAATTACCGAAATATAAAATTACTCTCACCTTAAGAAAACAATCTCCCTCCGCTATGGGTAGATGCCTGCTCGCACCTGCGAGAGGGTTCAGGGTAATCAATCGAGCCCAGGTGAACCAGGGCACCTCGACAGACCCCGCCCTGGCCTTTAACCTATGAAACTCCATTCACACATAACTTAAGCCAGCAAAAGTCCGGAAAAGGAACATAAAGCACCGACTATTGAAACTTACACTGTGTAGCCGAAGAGAAACTGAGATTCACAAACTGACCAACGTGTTCGAAGACTGATTGTTTAACTTTGAGCAGTTTACACAAGTTTGCCCGCCGCGCCCCGCGGCTCCAGGGACGCGGTGCAATACGGTTCTCACAGCACCACCACCGCAGACCGCCCGCTGCCCCGCCACCGGGCAGAGC